CCAGGTGACGACGGCGAGGGGGAGGGTGACAGGAAGCAGAGCCGTTGCCTGGGGGACCGCTCAGGGTGTGCGCAGTGACCAGGCCGCTCCCTTGAGTCCTTGGGCTTATCCAGCTCAATGCCTTTACTTTTCCTCCCGCCTCTGGAGAGACACACAGAAGTTCAGTGGATACCATGTGACGGCGGCAGGAAGTTCATCAGGAGCACCCGGGCAGTCCTCGGGGTCGGAAAGAAAGTTCCCAAGGAGTCTCTCGCCATCTTTGCTGGGCTGCTGGACATTTCCACATTTCCCACCCTGTGGGCCGTGGGAGCAGAGCTGTGGACGCGGGTGCAGCGTCTCCCAGAGCGGTCAGTGCATCCGTGCTGGCTGGGGAGGGGCCACTCTTCCTGTGTGTCCATCCCTGCACTAGGATCTGAAGGTGCTCCCTCCCGGGAAGGACCTGCTGTGGAGATGAGGCTCAGGGAAACAAACAAATGAGCTTTGGAGCTCAGGTCTCAGCACTTCCATCTCCACTGGACTGACACAGGGCACCAGCACTGGTGCGTCTTACAGTGACTCTCCACGTGCTGTCATCCCGGGGCCACCTGGGGCTCTCTTCCTGGGTTGCCATGAGCCATGCCAGGCTTGGGCGTTATGCGGCTGGCCCTCTCTTTCTCGGGCATTTGGGATCATTTAGGGGGTCAGTGAAATGAAAGTCGTCACGAGCCTCTGATCCCAGTCTGGGGACAGGACTGCACTTCCTGCATGTCCATCATTGTACTAGGATCTGAAGAGACTCCCGGGAATGACCATGGAGTTGGATGTCATTCTAGGGACTCGGCCAGCTCTGGAACATTCTAGAAAAGGATTCAACGCTCTAGACCTCTTCTCATGAGACCGCCTGGATGGGAGGACTGAAACGCGGAGTCTGGAGCAGACAGACACCCAGAGCCCCACACCCCCGGCCTCCCTCGCTCTGTTTGAAACAGTCTGTTCTGCAGAGCCTGCGCCTGGGGACACAACTGCTTCTGCTCCAGAACCAAAGTGGGTGTTGGAAGTCTGTTCCTCTCCCCTGGCTGCGCATCCTCAGGAAGCCACATGCCAGAGGGGGTCAGAGACGATCGATCTGTCGGTGTCCCGAGTCCAGGCAGTAGCAGGAGACTCTGCCTCTGCCATCAGGGCGGGAAGTGGGAAGGGCGTGCGGAGGCGGAAGGGCCGTTCTGCAGCTCTGGCCTTTGGGCCGTGGCCAGACTCCCCAGCCCCCACCAGTCCCTAAAATCACCTTAGCAAAGCCCCGATGCGAGCGTCTTCAGTGCCTGCTCCTGCAATTAAGTTTTGCCAGTGCCTCCTCACACCATCCCTCTGGGAGTACACAGAGCCTTTGATGCACCGTGCTTTTTGTTTGAAGCTGAAGTTCCAGATGCCCGTGGAAATGAAAGTGGTGCAGCATAATCATCTGAGGCACATGAAGGGCATCAGTGATGGTTTCTTTCCAAAAAGTGGATTCATGATGGCCAGGAAAGAGTTCCTTACCCTCCTCCCGGGCTCCCTGGGCTCAGAGCGCACGAGCCGGTTTGCAGGGGCAACAGGGATTAGCATGCAGTGGGCCAGAGGGGTGGGTTTCTGCAGTGGCATGAGGACCCCTTAGTTCTGGAGCGTCCCYGCAGCCTGGGGGGTGAGGATGCAGAGAGGAGCCCCGGGCAGCGGGAGTCGGACAGGGCGGGGCCGGCTTCCCACTCCTGTCAGTTCATCCCACCCTCTGAGCAACCCCACGGTGCCATGGTCATCATGTCCATTGTACAGGTGCCATGGTCCTCATGTCCATTGTACAGGTGAGGAAGCTCAGACCCAGAAAGGTTGGGTGCTTAATGTACCCAAGTCCCAGGATTAGTTAGTGCAGAGCCAGGACTTGAACTTGGATCAACTATAAAGCTAGGCTCGTACCCATAAAGGAGCAGGCTGGGGCGTCTGGCCCTAATGTGGTGGGCCATGGGAGCCACTGGTGGCTGTAGAGCAGAGGAGGGGCTTGGTTAGGGTCAGTCTATAGGAATTCAATCAGGCAGCCATACATCAGCCGTCAGGATGATCGATATCCGTGCACTCCGGGGTGGCATATCATGGTCTCCTATTCCAAAGGGTTCCTGGCTTGTGGGGAGAAGGCCCTGGCTTCCGTCTGTGAGCACTTGATTTGCAGTGAGTACTGTTCTGGACGGTTCCATGTCGGGGACATTGAATTCTCAGGTCTGGATGGGAAAGGACCATCCGCGGCGACGAGATGGTGCAGGAATGAAGTGCTTGGGACGTCAAAGGCTGACACACCTGGTTCCCCACCAGTGGTCCCTTCTCCTCTGGGTCTGTGTCTTTGTTTGAAAATGGGGTGGGACGCTGGTACCAGCTTGGTACAGGGGTTGGGGTGGCACTGGACGCAGCAGTCTCTAGACATTAGTGAGCAACGTGACCCTTGTAGAGGAAGCGCTTCTGCATGCTAGCTGTGACACTCGGTGTGACAGTCACGCCTGCTCTGCCAAGCTTGGAAAGGTTGAATGGTCTTCCCCAAGGCTGTGCGGCTAGGACTGGAACTGGGCAGTCTGACCCCAGAAGTTTTGCTCTGAGCCGTCTTGGGGGAGGGGACCACATGGGACAGTCACAGGAGACGTGGGCTGGCTCTGAAGTGCGGCGGGACAGGATGGCACAAGGCCAGGGTTTTTACATTCTCTTTCACAGATGGCCTGTGCCTGGCTGGCTCTGGGCTATGAACTGCCGTCCCCGTGATGGTCTTTCTCCTTCACAAAGTCCCCAGTCCCGCCACGCCATCCTCTGTGAGGGGAGAGCTCGGAAAGACGGCACTCACCACGGCTCTGCTGGGTGCATTACGCAGCTCGTGGGTACGCCCCGTAACATCCAGCCCACCGTGCCTGGAGCAAGGGTCTTGGAAGATCCCCACTCCCGCTGCACCTGGCCCGTGTGACCGCCACCTCTCCTCCGACACGGTGATCCCAGGGGACGTGTGCTTGTGGCTTGTCTCAAAGCCCCCTGTTATTGGGTCCTAACTGTGCCCTTGGTGTGCATCCTCCTGAGGACTTTCCCCATGTCTTGTGTCCTCCACCCGGGACAATGCCCACCTGCGGCCTGTCATGGTCCAGGAGTAGCTCTGCCGGGCGGCTTCCTCAGACCACCCCTCTTACCAGGGAGACCCTGGAGCATTTGTGGTCCTGTTCCAGATCCCCTAGACTTGACCCTGGTGCCCTCGTCTGTTGGTAGGGTCTTTGGGTTGCTCCCCTGTTTGGTACTTAAAGAGGCTTGAGGGACACCTGTGGGCTCACTGGCCTCCGCTATTCCCCTGCATATCAATAAAGGTGCATTAAAATGTGTTTAGGGCTTTGGGAGGAGGAGTGGTTTCCGGGTGGTGGAGACGGTGGTGAGGGTGTGGGACGTTTTGTCTGGTTGGGACTCAACGCTGAAGGTCCCTCCAAAATGCAGTGCCGGGGACCGAGCCCTCCCCTGCCGCCTTCTGTTTAAAKCCAGGATGTTCTCTGAGGCTACACGCTTGCTTGCTCACTGCCGTGGACCCCCATCCTTCTCTTCTCCATGTGTCACGGGCCAAGCCTTCCGTGAGGTTCCAGGGACAAAGAGACGCAGACTTCAGTCTCTCTGCCCTTGAGGCTCTCACAGTCTTGTTGAGATGTGATTTAACATGATTAATCAATTCGAGAATATTGGGTTTCTCCAAAAGCTACTGTAGGGAAAAGATAATTATTCAAAGTCTTTAAATCTGTTACCCATTTTAATTGATTTAATTAGGTAAAATTCACAGAACTGTGATGCGGGAAGGAGTCCAGAAGGCATTTATTTGTCCCTGTTTCTTCTCTCTGCCTTTGGGCCACATAGCACCCAGATCGTCCCCAAACCCACACATTTCAGAAAAGAGCACACAGAGGTCTGGCCATTTAGACAACCTTCTGTGACCGTCCACGGGAGAGGGCGGACCCGTTCCAGGACTCAGGGCGCAGCTGTAGCACCGTCCCGAAAGACACAGGCGACCCGTGTCCCTCGAGCGTGTGTGCCTGTGCACAATGGGGTCCCGTGTGCTTTCCTGCAGAGGTGGTGCTAGACAGGCCCGCACACAGTGCAGAATGACACGTGGCTGCCATGCCATCAGGACCTTGGGGACTCTCGGCGTTTCTCGCATCCTGACAAAGAGCCCACCCTCTGCCTGGTGACAGTTTTCCACCCTCCCACGGTGTACGCACCAGTCCTGTGCCAACCCTAAAGGACCCCAAGAGGCCGTGGGGGAGTGTGGGCCAGGGGACTGGGCCTGGGGTCTCAGGACCGGGTTCGGACACTGACTGGGCCCATAAATGAGCAACTTCCTGGGATCCTTCTGGGGCTTTGAAGCACGGAGCAGGGTGCGGATGTACCGTCGCCTGCTCTTCTGAGCGAAAGTTTGGTCTCATGATCATAGAGTTTTGCAGATGTCAGGACTGATAGGAACCCTTAGCTCAGTGCACATCACCGTGTCACACGCAGCGTGTGGACACTTGGTCGCATCTATTACACAGGAGCCTTCAGTGGGTGTTACAGAAACATGGCCCAGAGGGGCCTATGTGGCATGGGAACTCGTTGGTCCCTGTAGCCAAGAGGTCCAGGGCTGATGGCCTCAGGCAGGGCACACTCCAGGGCTCCGGTGTGTCCTGTGAATCCGTTTCCTGATGCTGCTCCCTTTCCCCAGTAGAGAGCTGTTCTGTGGGACCCAGATGGACTCGAAGGTGGGAGAGGAGGAACGGAGGGAAGGAGAGCGGCTGGGGGTGGCTCAAGAGCAGCACCTTCCCTGCAGCTCCCTGATCTGCTCCAGAGCCTGGCACACAGTAGGTGCTCAGGAAAGGTTTTAAATGGGTAGATGCGTGCTTGGCCTCCCCTGGCTGTAGGAGGGGCCCTCTCTGAGCCCAGACAGACAGACAGACAGAGGGTTGTCCATGCCCGCCTCGCTCACCCTCGGCTTTCTTTCCTTTCCCTGTTGGCAGGACCCGACGTCCACCTTCTTCCAGTTTGGAGCGTCCATCCAGCAGCAAGCCACGGTCATGCTCAAGATCATGCAGGACTACGACTGGCACGTCTTCTCCCTGGTGACCACCATCTTCCCTGGCTACAGGGACTTCATCAGCTTCATCAAGACCACAGTGGACAACAGCTTCGTGGGCTGGGACATGCAGAACGTGATCACGCTGGACACGTCCTTCGAGGACGCCAAGACGCAAGTCCAGCTGAAGAAGATCCACTCCTCCGTCATCCTGCTCTACTGCTCCAAAGACGAGGCCGTCCTCATCCTGAGCGAGGCCCGCTCCCTGGGCCTCACGGGCTATGACTTCTTCTGGATTGTCCCCAGCTTGGTCTCTGGGAACACGGAGCTCATCCCCAAAGAGTTTCCATCGGGACTCATCTCCGTCTCCTACGACGACTGGGACTACAGCCTGGAGGCGAGGGTGAGGGACGGTCTGGGCATCCTGACCACCGCGGCGTCCTCCATGTTGGACAAGTTCTCCTACATCCCCGAGGCCAAGGCCAGCTGCTACGGGCAGACGGAGAAGCCGGAGACCCCGACTCACACTCTGCACCAGTAAGAGAGGGTCTTTGCTTGCTCCCAGGGTGGGTGCAGGGTTTAGTTGCCCTGATTTTTTTTTTGCTTGTTTACATACTCGTTGATGAATGTGCTCTGAAAACAGAGACTGTTGTGTGTGAGCAGACGTTTTGTTTTGTTTGATTCTGCCCTGTTTTCTCCCCATCTTGTTTTGAGATATATATCATCCTATTTTCATTTTTTTACAACTTTTTTAAATTCAAAAACTCTATCTGTCGACCATTTATCGTAATTATATCTCAAGTCTATCTAAATTCTTTGCAATGTGCATATCGTATTCTTCAATATGGATATGCCATGGTTTATTTTTCGAATCTGCATAATGATAGGAATTTAGGTTTTTTCCCCCCAGATTGTTTTTCCGTTAGAAGTGGAACGCCAAGGATAATCATCACACTTGTCTCTTGAATCACATGTGCAATTGTTTTTCTAGGGTTGAGTCTAAGCTTGGGGTTTGGAGGGTCATCAGGCAGGTGCATTTTTGAGTATCTATTGCCAAATTGTGCTTACCAAGTAACTGGACCCTCTACATTCACACCAGCATTTTGTGAAACCGGCCCACTTCCCACATCTGCAGCAGCCCGATATGCTTTGGGGAGGCTGCCTCCACCGGTGGGCTGGATCTCTTTTGTGTTTAAGTATTTTCGTAGGTCATTGGAGATCTTGGCAAGCATCAGTGCTAAGACGGCATTGCACTCCATCATCTGGATGTATCATAATTTATTTAACCATTCCCATCAGGGTAGACGTTACATTTTGTTTCTGGGAAGTGTCGCTGTACCTTGTGGCCTGTCATTATGGCCCAGCTGTTGAGATTTAGCATCTYGCTCATTCGCCTGTTTCTGCCTAATGTTCCCTGGTTGATCTGTGCTCATTTCTCAGGTGGCCAGCAGGGGGCGCTGTGTAGGGACTTGTCCGGATTCCAGCTCCACCTGGCCCACTGTCTGTAGGACTAGACCATCACCCGCTCCTTTGTGGTGCTTATCGCAACTCCACGATGATGTCGCCTATATCCGAGGAGGTCATGCTCAAACGTTAGCACCCACCAGAATCTTGAGGGGTTTGTAAAAATACCAGTTGCTGGGCCCTACGCTCAGAATTTCAAGTGTATTCCTAGGTGTGGGGCGACTCCCAGGGGCTTCCAATTATGGCACATTCCTAGGTGGTGTGGACATTGCTGGCCTGAAGACCAGGCGTTGGGAACCGTGTTCTGGGGGTTGTCATGAGGATTCAGTGAGATGCTGGGGCAGTGCCGCTTGGCACCGTGCCTGCGGCTGGTGATCATTTGACAACCTTAAGAGTCGCAAGTGAAGGTTTTGGTCATCGAAATGAAAGTCAGGAGACCTTGTTTGTCGATTGCCAGCAGGGTACTGCCAATCTGTCGCGTCTCGGGAAGATTCTAGGACTCTGTGACATTTCAGAGGTCACCTGTGAATTGGGAATCAAGGGGTGTGCGTGTGCGTGTGCGTGTGCACGTACATGATGTGTGTCTGTGTGTGTGATACACCTGAAAAACGAACCTGGATTAAGGAAGCTGCTCCTTTGAGGTTTTCCCTCCGGCTCCTCTTCCCCCTCGTTAACCATCCTGTTTCTGCGACGTCGTGTTTGGTATTCCAAGTCCTTGTCCAGATAGGATTCAGGATGAGACCCGAGCGCTGGTTCTGGAGGCTCGGCTGCTGCGAGCCGAGGACAGGGACTGGGCTAATGAATCCGCGCTCTCCTGAACGAGATGTGCCCTGCAGCCGGGATATTCAGGATGTGGCATTTTGATGGGAACATAACTCCATTGTAAGGCAATTGAAATGTAATCTATATAGGAAAGGAAACTCCGGGAGGATAATTGGCAAGACGTCCAGGTCTTTCCAGGGACCACCTCGGAGGGCATTCTTTAAGGAGAGAGACCCCGCTGCTGGGAGCTGCTCCGCTCCTTCCACAAGTCGTACCTCTGAAAGCAGCAATTTTGTAAAAGCCATTCCAGCCCAGAAAAGCCAGGCATCACTCTCTAAGTCACCCTCCACAGCGAGGGATGTGATGAAGCACCTCTGTCCCTGAGGGCTGGCGCTCACCCCTCCCCCACCCCACGTTGTTCTTTACACCACCTCAGGAAAGAGTGGCACCTGTCAGTCTGCCCTTGACTGACAGCTGGAGGAAGCCAGGGAAGCAGTTCAAAAAAATCACACACACACACTCTGTCTGCATCCATCAGTCCTTCCATCCAACAGACCCGTGCTCACCCTGGAGCGCACAGATGACCAAGGCGTAACTTCTGTCCCAAACACCATACTGACAAGACAGGAGATAAAGACAGGAGAGATTTATCTAAAGACAAACTCAGGTAACAGGAATGCTTGTTTATTTCTTTTAAATATTGAAAAAGAAAATAGTGCAGGGTCTGATGGAATACCCAGTCCTCGTCACAGAGAATGAAGGTTGACGCGTCCCGTTTTCCCACATTTTAAAAGGAATAAAACATTAAATGATCATGTAAACTCTGATCACATCTCACGCTGGCTCTGCTTTTCTCTCCTCCTCTCCATGGGAGGGAAACTACTACCCTGAATCTGACACGTATCCATGTCCGCGCACGTTTTTGTAGTTCAGGCAAAGCCTCATGTGCCCGGCACTCGGGGCCACCGCTCTTCCTGATGGAGACAGATGTACCTGATAGGTCAGAGTTCCCGTTGCCTCCACCTTGCGATTGGAAGTCCCCTCTGTGACGGGGACATATCGTCGTGTGTTCCTCTTGGTGGCTGCCTTGCGTCCTGTTGTGTGAGCACTTCATCTTTCACCTGGTCATTCCCCTGTGACGGACACCTAGGTCGTGACGGGAGGGGACCCTCACTCTGGGAGCTGAAGGCAGAGATGCGACCTCTCCAGCCCGAGTTGGATCCACCCCCGTGCATAGCAGGATCTCAGGACTCTCGAGGGAGGGTCTTCTCACTTCAAGCTTGAAAAGCTGGAGGAAGAAGTCTCACTTGGCAGAGTGCTGGCCACATACACAGCTCTCAAGATGTCCCCTGTGTGACGGGGAAGAGGCAAAGAGCCTCAGAGAGTTGGATGAATTTGCACCTGCCCGTCTCACGGTGCCCGACTGGCGCTCCGATGTCCGCTCTGACTGGCTGAGCCAGTGGCCCTCGGGGGCATTGCTCATGATTTTATGTGTGGTCTTATGTGGGCAGGATATTACAGCAATATGACCCAGGTCGGGCTGGGCAAGGCACAAGGGGCTCCTACAAGGGGGCTCCTCACCAGGGAGGGTGTGTGGGTGATGTGACCACGCACAGCTTCACAAGAGCACAGGAGGGGAGAGGGGGAGATTTCCTTTATGGTTAATGTTCCTCGTTTTGCAGAGGACACTTTGGAAAATGCTGACTGCTCTTTTCAAAGTTCAAAAATAGCTCAGCCGAGTTATGTAACCTCCTCCTTGCAACTGCGAAGTTATTAAACATCTGTCCCTTCGCCATGCACAGAGCACGTCCCGGGGCCACGGAGGTAAACCGTGACCTGTTTTGCTGGTGTGGGACCCGTTCTGTCCTGTTCGTGAGTGGACAGGCTCCCCAGGAGGTGGCGTGGCTTTGCAGTTGAGAGTGTGGCCTCTGGGGCCAGGTGACCTGGGTTCGGGTCTCTGACCTGCCCAGTTTTAGATCTGAGACTTGGTGGAGTCCATCTGTTCCCTCCAGTGCAATATGGGCATGAGAAAGCCTCTGAGACCCCGGCCTGGCCGTGGGAAGGCTGTCCATAAATGGTCACTAGTACACTCTGAGCATTMCCACCCTGAAAGTATAAAATTCTAAAATGCTCCAAAATCTGAAGCTTCCTGAGTGTCAGCATGGTGCTACAAGTGGAAAATTCCACTCCTGACCTGACGTGATGGGTCGGAGTCAAACACAGCGCTCTAAAAACATGGTATAAGGTTTCCTTCGGTCTACGAGTACAAGGTCGTATGTGAAGCTTAATGAGCTCTGTCTCGAGACTCGGGTCCCAGCCCGCAAGTATCTCATTAGGTCTGTGCAGACAGCCCATATCGGACTCCGTCTGTCCCCAGGCATTTCAGACCAGGGACACGCGACCTGGATTGAGGAAACCTGTGGACAGAACTGGAGGGAAACAAGTCTTTGCTCACCAGAGCCCACGATTGGCAGAGGCACAGGAGACAGGGAAGTGTGGGCACAGCACCCCGAGAAGAGGAGCAGGACCCGAGAACTAGTGCCCTGGGAGCATCTGCCAGGCTTCTTTGGGGCGGTCTTACTCTTTCTGCCTGTGCTACGTCTCGAGCTGCTGGTCCCTGTGCTGTCTCTGGTCCTCCGTGTGGGCCTGGGGCAGTTTCCAACCACATTTCAGGGCTGTGGAGTTAGGGATGCAGAACCCTGGATGTGCACCATGGATGTGCGTGTTGGTGTGTGCACCTGGGCCCCCTCTTCCACCGTGGAGGGGACACGTTTTACATTACTGAGACAGGGGTCAGAGAAGGGAGAAAGTCCATACTTCTCATCTTGCCCAAGGACTGCCTGGGGAGCCCTGTGGCCCTGGGGGTCGAGGGGCAGCGTGGTGCAGAGAGCAGTCCCAGCTGTGTGGTGTGACCGGCTGGCCCGAGATTCACCACGTACCTACCAGGCATGAGTTGCTGACCACTCTGAGCCCCGGGTGTGTGTGTGTGTATGTGTGCGTGTGCGTGTGTGTGCACGTGCAATGCCATCTCTTCTTACTGAGGCAGAATTAAATGRCAGCATGTACGTGAGACAGCCTGGTGCCTGGCAGGTGGGAGGCGTTGCACGCACAACCCTGAGGTCATTATCACTTTCTCGTGATGGTCCTCATCGTCACTCGAGTGCACACCGGTTACATTGCAGACTGCACTCAAGGTCAGGAAGAGAGTCACGGAAGCGTGTTTCACTTTTATTCTGTAACAACTGAATGATGACCTCTGTCCTGTGGCTGCTATTTTAGTCCTAAGAGATGAACATGAAGAAGTGACTCCA